TCACATTTGACAGCATTGCAATAGCCCATCTAATATTACCCAGTGTATGGCTTCTGCTTGCTATGGTAGCCCTCCTATCGGCTATCAGTCAGCCTAAAACATGTGTAAGGGGCTGCTTATATAGAGGCGAGCCACCCAGGTAACCTGGTTATAGCTCGCTTTCCCTGGATGAATGTCTGGTTACATGAGCCTCTTTAGATGGGCAGGCTTGCCAAAACAAATCACCCAGACTGAGTTATATAGTACAAGCACATTTCCCAATAAAGTGAACCAACAAGTGATCAATCACTCATACTTTTGCAGACAGTCTTGAAATGTATAAACTGACAAAAACAATCACAGAGATCTTTTTACCCAGCTGGGCCCAGGGGTAATACCGTGCCAAATCGTGGGTGATTGTATATAATTTATGTGGAAAATCCTAGCTTGGCATTAGCAAGATTTTGGGACAATGAATTTTGGGTCAATTATGCACTTCTATTTTAAACACCCTTTACCAGAAAAGTTGTATTCATTTGGATGATGTTAGTTCAATTGCATGTTTACATTAAATGAGTAAAAGCATTTCAATTTCTTGCTTTGTATGTATGCAAACAACCAAAAATAGCAAATTCATTGTCAATCAATCAATAATTTTTATTTTGTGTGTGTTGGTGTTATGTACTCAGGTGAATATATAATGTTTGTGATGTTACTGTGAGTGTGCATCCACACTGGGCAAGCTGAAAAGTTAGCTTGGCCACAGTGGGAATCGAACCAGTGACCGTGGCCAAGCTAACTTTTCAGCTTGCCCAGTGTGGATGCACACTCGGTGAGAGTCAGTGGCGTAGCCAGCCCGACAATTTAGTCCCGCTATGCAAATTCAAAATAATTATCATTATTCATTTCTCTAGAAATTTATTGTTTTCACAGTCAATGAACATGAAAATATTTGCATAGCGGGACCAAATAGTCGGGCTGGCTACGCTACTGGTGAGAGTAACATCACAAACATCATATATTCACCTGAGTACATGACACCAACACACACAAAATAATCGTAACATTGAATACCCCTGTACACTGATATCGAAGGAACTAGACTCGTTGGAACTAGTTGCAAAATATCATCAACTCGAACAGACTTGACCATGTAGCTCAGTTGACAGAGCATTGGACTAGTATCCCAAAGGCCGCAGGTTCGATTCCCACCGTGCCCAAACTAACTTTTCAGCTTGGCCGGTGTGGATGCACACTCAGAGTAACATCACAAACATCAATCAATAATTTTCTGCTGTTATATATCAACCTTATAATATTTTTTTCTTACTAGGGATTCTCATTAATATATGGATTTAACAAAAGCTTCCCAGGAGAAGGCAAGTTGTCAAAACAAGTGGTATTATATGTAATCATTAATGGCATTCTAAGAACTTCATGGTCTATTTGGAAAATGTTATTCTTTTGCTGGAGAGCATTTTTGTGAATTACCAAACCATGCAAGGGATGGAGTTGCCGACTTGTGGTATACAGCTTGTTTTGTACTACATTTTTACTAATGGACTTGCTTGACATGTTTGATTGAGAAGTGACACTACATACATCTAATACATGCAGTATATTTTACTTGTAAAGATTCTACATTGAACAGAATATTAACCCTTTAAGTGGCAATTTGCTTTACTTTTTTATTTTTTCTGTCAAATGTGGTCAGACAATTTTTGCTCATTAAGGAGAGAGTGCTGCCACTTAATGGGTTAAAGCTTTTCTGTAAATGTAAATTTTTTGAACGATAACTATGTAATAGCCGGTACTGTGCTGGGAATGGAACCTGCTGCCCTACAGGTGATTCTGATCAGCTTTTTAACTGTCAAAGGTCCTGAAGCCCTAAGAGTCCATCGCCCTGACAGTCTAGCTCATCTGTAACCAAGAGTTCATGTACATAATACTAGTGTCATCCTGGGCAGTTTATTTAATACACTACCAATGACACCACCATGGTATACATACAACAACTTGTGGTTACCTCTTGGCAAAAGGGCTCTTTAGGTCAGAGGGCTGCGGTAGAATTGCAGGGCTGCAGGTTCAATTCATGCTGACAGGCTTGTAATTGTATTGCACATGTATTCATGATATCATTCTAATCATGTATTCATGATATCATTCTAATCAATTTAGAACTTCATTAAAATATTATAGGGCGTAAGAGTATTTCATTATATTATGCTACAGCAAATTGTATTTCCTGCTATAATATACCTTACTTGTAGGGATAATAAATTATTTTGACTCGAAAAATGTCTTTATTGATTTCTAAAGTTAGTTAAAGACTTTTCTTTACTCCGATATATAGAAGTCATTTTGTCTCCAAAGGAGTCGACTTGACTCCAAAAGTGGAGTAAATAAAAAAGGTACAGAACGACTCCTTTTTTGGAGTAAATTTTACTCCTTTATTTACTCCATTTTTGGTGTAAATTTTACTCCTTAAGTAGAGTTGTTTTTACTCTTTGAGGAGTAAAAACAACTCTACTTATGGAGTAAAATTTACTCCAAAAATGGAGTAAATAAGGGAGTAAAATTTACTCCAAAAAAGGAGTCGTTCTGTACCTTTTTTATTTACTCCACTTTTGGAGTCAATTTGACTCCTCGAAATTAACAGTGTGGGGATAGCAAAAGGAGTAGCGTTAAGAATACGGAGAATATGTTCGGATGAGGATGATTTTCATAACAAATGTAATGAGTATGCTAATTATTTGATAGCCAGTGGGCATGATAAACAGCATGTTAAAAATATATTTGAGGAGGTTGCAGCTATTAGTAGGCATGAAGCCAGGAAAAAGAAGAAAAAAGATAATAGGAATTTATGTATTTTATCGACCAAATACAATCCCAGAGGACCAGATATCCGTAAGATCTTAAATAAACATCATAGAGAAATTATTTGTAACGATGAAAAGGCCATTGAGGTTTTACCAGAGGGAGCCATTTGTGTGGCATATAAACGTAATGCCAACTTAAAAGAATTGTTAGCCCCCTCTAATCCATTTAAAATTAAAAGCCGGTCGTATAGGGAAACTACAGGCTGTTTTAGGTGTAAAGCCAAGCGATGTGACTGTTGTAAAAACTTTTTAGAAGAAGGTTCCACCTTTAGTTCCACAGTTTCTAAAAGAGTATTTCAGATTGGTAAAGATCTTACTTGCACCTCCGATAATGTTGTTTATCTTGCTAGTTGTGTTACTTGCAATTTGCAAGAAGTGGGTTCTACTATCAATTTTAAGACCCGACTCGCTAATTACAAGTCTCACATCAAACGTAATAAGAGAACCTGTGGTATTGTTAACCATTTTCTGGATTGTCATGGTGCTGATTATTCATTGTTGAAATTCATGCTAATTGATCGGCGCCAGGGCAACCTAAGGGAATGTGAAAATTTTTGGATTGGTATGCTATTGACTAATCGAAGAGGACTTAACTCTACGCATGATTTTGTGCAACAATAGGATTAGGTTATTACTTAGCATACTAAATAGTATAAATGCCATGTGCTGTAACTTAGTTTTTATTCTGAGGAAGGCCGTGTCAAGTGGCCGAAAATTTATTATTTGTATACTTTACTTTAGTCATCTTTAATAAATTCTTCGATACGTAGCCATCTCTTTGTCGTAATATTATGTGCTGTTGGCTAAGGCAAGTTTTGGTCATTGTCGTATATATATATATATATATATATATATATATATATATATATATATATATATATATATATATATCGATAATTGGGGGGGGGCAGATATTCATATATTCGTGTTCACAGACTGTAAAAACAATCGATTTTAAAATCTAAATCTCGATTTCAAAAGAAATTAATTGGGCAGAACACGAATATATGAATATCTGCCCCTCCCCCTACAAAATGGTTTACCTATTAACATATAGATTTTTCTATCTACAGTACCAGCTGTAGATAGAAAACGGACCCCGTATCCCCTTGGCCTAGACTAGGCAAGGTCTTCTGCTACGCTCTGATCTTTGGCTGAATCCGCCCCTGCAGGCTGGAATTGTGAATGCTCGAAGTCGAAGATTACTGAATTTTGGAAATTAAACAAAACAGCTATAATCCCTATATATAACTGAAAAGAACCTTTCTCTACCTCTCGGCTGGGTCTCGGCCCTGTTGCTAGAATAACATATATGGAATCGGTGTAACAAAATATGGCAAACATAGATAACCCCTGCAGTGATCACGTTGTGTGTTCAAATTGGACTGTACAACATTTCATAATACGTACTTTTATTCAGGTTATATAGTACAATTCTGGCTTCTGTTATCTAAAAACAGCTGTCGGCGTTATACTTTTGACTGTCCATTTATTGAGGTTGCCATCCTAACAAAAGCTCTTATCTTAATATTATTACAATGAATTTCAGAGTAGCTTAGGATTATTTAGGCAACTTGGCTGTCTACTGTTACAGTATTACAATATAAATTTATAATAGCATAGTTAAATGTTGCTTTTTAAAGCACAAAATTCGGACTGTATAAAGCCTGCAGAATTATGCAGGGGGGGGGGGGGACGCGGATGAAGTCAATTTAAAAAAAATAGAAAATCAAGAACAGAAGACGTTTTCATTTATTCTGCATTACCCAGGGCGGAATTTTGGTTGGTCATGCAGACGCTTTCACTCAGCCTTTTCGAAAGGTATATTCCGTTAACAACCTAAACGTTGCTCCTTGTCGTTAATTAATGTTATTTTCAAATTAGAAGTAATTGTTAACTTTGAGGTCCAAATTTCACTTTGGAAATAGTGTTCTAAATTTCTTGATAGTATTTCCACAAGAAAATTAGCTCCCTTTCAATACTTCGTCTTGCATGGCTGGAATAAGGCCCTTACGGAAAGCGATAGAAAGCAATTCCTCTGCATCTTTTGCTTCGGGATATTCACGAATGGCCCATTTTAAATACAACGAGAACTCGTTCCAGTCCACTTGGCCATCTTCATCCATATCAATTGCTTTCAAGGCACGCCTGGTTGTATCGCATCTATAGCAGCCAAAATACGGCGCCATGAAGCCGTTATAAAACGCATCAAATTCTAATTGGTCATCTTTCACACCATCTCGTAAATCCCAAACGTCCCACAATTTCCGTATTTGTGCGATCAGCCTTTCACCATGGACTGTTTCAGGCTTTTCATCTTCAACCGCCTTAGCCATTGCTTCGGTAAGCTTGCCGCCAGATCGATCAAATAAGATAGCGAGACCAACTTTACTCATGTATTCCTCTTTTCTATTTTCATGTAGATCTTCTAACATAACTTCAAGCATTCTCTTAGCTCGTTCTTCTGTGAACTGAGTATTTTCACCAAACAATGTTTTTAGTCTCTCTAAAACCATTCTTGGTGTAGCTAATGTTGTCATTCTCACCGGTGGTTCTTCTCCAAAGAATGTTGCCATAGAGAAACCTTCACCGTCAGAATTTGAACCCATACTACCTTCGAAGACAATATCCAGTGCTCGCTCACCATACACAGGTTGTTTAGGATGTGGTTCCTGACCGGTTGTTATTCTTGTCACTTCTTGAGCAGCTCTGCGTAGTTCAACACAGTTATATTGCTTAAAGACATGTTTATTTCCCAAACGTATCATATTTAATAAGGTCACACTAGAACATGCATGACCTAAGGCTGCTCCTTCTTCACATACACTACACCAAATACCGGTTGCTCCGTTGATAATACATTCCAACTGACTCACTTGCCCCAATCCCCACTTCTCATGAATATGAACTAACAAATGACCATCTTGAAAACCACATTTGTCCATTTCGTGACGTACTGCGGCTGTCCAAGCACCAAGTTGATCTGGCAAGTAGTTTCCTGTTGGTTCTTCAAATATCAAACCAAAAGGACGTTGGTCTGCGGGCAACGATGAAAGATATTCAACAACTTTAAACACACGCTTTGGTTTGTTGATTATGGCGTCAGCAATATCACGAAGGTTGATAAAAATTTGGGCATCTCTTGAAAGATTTTCTCGTACCCATTGCATTCTTTGTGAGAAGAGTGTGGTAATTTTTTTCACGTTGAATATTTTGTAGTCGATGTCGGTATAAAACAAATCAGCTTCAATGATCGGATTTCGAATGCCCAACTCTTTCATTTTCATCAAGCCAACAGGAATGGTGTCTGTGTCAGGAATTTTAGTTTGACTGTCAATTGATTCAATAAACTCTGTAAAAGCGTAAAATTTTCTAAAATCTTCTCGTTTTTCTGCCAGTTGACGGATAAATGTATCTCCAACACGGGTCATATGGGAAAACGATGTTACAATGATATCCTGAAAGCCAACCTTTTTTATCTAAAATAATCGAATATATAATTTGAAAAAGCTGTATTATACATTACATATGCATGTGTGATACAAAGTGTTGAATGTTAACATTGAATACGATATTAATAAACATGACACTAGGGCTACAATGACTATTATAATGAGATGTTATGTAAAAAGTCACAATGATCTCTTTTCAAACAAAACCCTCTCCGTTGTATAAAGGGACAACGTATTTTGTATTTTGGTATCCGATGGCTCATTTCGATGCGGATGTTGTGGGTGTTTAAAATCGCAGTTCTGCATGTTTCTTAATACAGCAGCCCCGCCGTGAAAGAAAACGGCAACGAATAGTGCTTTCAGGAATTTGCTTAGTTTTTTTCCTGTTTATATTACAGGGCTGCTGTGTTTGCAATTTTGAATTAGGTTTTCTATTTGTATGCACAGTAACTGGTCCTTTCTGTTTACTTGGGGATGCATTTTGATGTGTGCTATTACGGGGCTGTTTAATTGGTCTATCCCTGCAGTGTAGTTTATGTTCAAGGTAGCATGTTGATCTTTGTCACTCAGAACGAAGGAATTTCAACAATAGTAGAGCTTGACTGGTTTTCATCTTAATTCCCAGTTAACTGCTCAACAGGTCCAGACCAGATAACTGCAAGGTGCCTCAAGCTCGGTGCCGTGACCATTGGGTCACCTTTGACACACATCCTTAACAGTTTCATTGACAATTGTTCTTTTCCTGATGCGTGGAAGGTGGCTCGTATTTCGCCAGTTCCTAAAGTCAATTCTCCCTCTGAAGTTCAGGCCCTAATTTTAAATAAATAGGGCCTGACACAAAACCTGTCTAGACCGTGGGACGCCCACATGTTATTTTTAGACATAGCATGCAATATGATTGACAAGTGTTGTAGATTTCGTTACACAAAAAAATTATATTCGCACGAACATGTCCGCAGAGTGTGCATTTTGCTTTTTAATTAATTAAACCTGAAAATTCAAAGTACTTTTATATAATTAATATAAGAGTCGGTTTCTCTATTTAACCGAACAGCAAACAAAGTTTTAATTAGTCAGTTCTGTGCACGGCTTGATGGCCAAGCTTTCTCAAAGTCTCAACTTGCTGGACGCGGATATACTCCAACGGACTAACAACAGCAACAATGGGATTCTCAATCGTACCACGAAGAAGGCGACGTAGCTCAGAAAACAACGGCGGTAGGACCTGATATTAAAAATAAAACTTTTGCCGGCGAAGCCAGTTGGCAGAACATCTTGGCTGTCGTGAACAAGGTTTCGAATACATGACTAGTTTGGCTGTTCTTTCAGTGTCGTGTGTCCAAAATTCGTCAAAGATTTTGATAAAGCCCTTTCAAAATATTGGGTTTTTTTATTTATTTTCTGCCATAAAGCATAAAAGAAAAGAAATTCGAAGAAATCGCTAATGGAATTTGTTACGTGCGTTTGACCTTTATATTAATTGTCGCCTTGAGCCCTTGACCGACCTATTTTTAAAACTGTTGTTTATGTGAACTTGCAACCAATCAAATCTTTCATGATGCTGATCAACCAATCAAATTTCCCGTCCGCCAGATGGACGGGAATCTCACAGTTTAGACAGGTTTTGTGTCAGACTCTATTCTGTGATTAGGGCCTGAACCTCATGTTACCCTCCCTCCGAACCTGATGACTATCGACCTATTGCTATTCTTCCAGCTCTCTCTAAAATTTACGAAAAACTTGTTCTAAGGGGCCGACCATTTAACATTTGAGAAGGGGGGGGGGGGTTACTGCTGGAATGGATTTTTTTCTGGGATCGTTATGGCGAGATCTTTTTTCCTATCCATCAGCATGTACAAACTTTTTTTCCCTCTCTTTCGCAGCATTTTTTTTTTCAATAGCTTATTTTATAACATATGGTTTATTCATTATACTAAGATCTTGCGCAGGAAGCACAGACAATGAAATCCGTTACACTAATACGTGGACTGCTGTCAAGAGCCTGAATATTGGTTTCTCGAATTCCTAGCTGTCTCGATTGAGATATTTATGGAGAGCTTATTAAAGCTTCGCGTAAAAAGTACGGCAAAAGACAAGGTCGAATTTTCTTGGCATTTTTAAGACTCATGTAAAACATGATTGTCATATATGAAGTCCTTTATAGTATAAACAATAATTTAGATTATTTATGGACCAGTTTTCCTATCCTTTGGGAAAAGTGTGCTTTTATAGTAGACTATGTAATAGCCCTTACATGCTCTAGTTCCTGAAAATCAAACCAGCTTATCTTCTGGGACTGGTCAAATCGATCCCTGGAACCATGCTCTCTTGCAACATTTTTCCCCACCAAATACTGGGGCAGGTTATTTTCCCCCCAGTTTGTTAGTGTATATATATATTTTTGTTCAGAATAGCCTTGCATGCAGGGAATTGTTTTTCAAAATCACCCCCCCCCCCTCAAAAGTTAAATGGTCGGCCCCTAAGTCAACTGATACATCACATCGAACACCACAGCCTGCTAAACGGTAATATCACCAACTGTCGTAAGGGTCACCCGACAACTAGCGTACACTTGCGCATCAAAGACGTTATCGTAAAAGCGATGAAAAAGGGCGAGGTGACACTAATCGCCTTTGTAGACCTATCCAGAGCTTTTGGTACCATTGACTATTCTGTTGGAGTACGGAAACTCCACGATATTGGTATGTCCAGTGCTGCCCTCAAGTGGATTGTGAATTACCTGTCTTTAAGGAAACAGTTTGTCCAAGTAAACGACAAACAATCTGAACTAGCGAAATTGACGTTTGGCTTTCCACAAGGCTCAAGTTTAGGACATTTCTTGTTTATCTATATGTCAATGACATGCAGGATGGTTTACAAGAAGGCTCTACCTGTTTTCGATATCCCGACGACACCACAGTGTAGCGCCACAGTACCCCCACAAATTTGGAGGGCTGTGTACAGATGATGGATGATAGCCTGCACCGCATTGAGAGATGGGCTACGAATAATGACATGCTATTAAATGAGAAGAAAACCAAACAGATGATTATCCCCAGATGTCCAAAACACATTGTCTCGGCAACCTTGTACCACCAAATGTTAAAAAGAACAGAACGTTAGACAGAATTGGATGTTTTAAGTTGTTAGGAACATGGATACGCAAAGACCTTCAAATGGACATCACATAAATCATATCCTAGTGTTACAAAATACTCGCCACTTTACGAAGAATAAAAATATAACACCACAGAATATCAAGAAAAAGCTGGCCCAGATTTGGTACTTTCAAAATTAAATTTTAATGACTCAGTGACATATCCCCTTCCTCGGTCCTTCAAAAGAAAGCACAACGAGTTCAAACTGCCGCCTCTAGTTTCGATTTTAACCGTTTTTGCTCAGAAAATGATGTTCTTAAGCTTGCCATGGCTGGCTTCCTACTCTGGAGACCACACAATACAGCGTCTAAAACAAACATACAAGGGCCTCTGCAGTGAATCTTGGCCAGATTACCTGCAGATTCTTAGGCACAAGCCAATATATATATTATAATTTTAAACTTCGTGACAAAATAAGTCATTGGCAAAAATTATCAAGTATAAATTATCACTATATTTACCTCTTCATAAATCTTCCATTTATTTTCAATCGTATGACCTCTGAGTTGTCCAACAGTACTCTCACGTAATGAGTTGTCCAGAACAAACAATTTCTTTTCACGAAGTATTTCTTGTTTCAGTTCAGCTTTCTTCTCGTACTTTTTCAGTTTCCTTAACTTTGCATGAAGGAACATCATGAAGATCTAACAAGAAATTAAAATAAAAGCTCTTAAGATTATTTTGGACAGTACAGTCTATAATCGTGTCCAATTGTTTGTGGAACGCGCTGTAATATTATAAGCACGTGTGCAAGTTAATCTTTATCGCTGCTATTCTCTGCAATAAATGCGCGCACTCCCACGCCCCTCATTTCAATGTTAGTGTGGCTGTGCCTAGGTTATCATCCTGTTGTATCTGCATCAAATGAAATAGTAAAAGAATGCACCATTGATGATGGGGTGTTAGAAGATAATAACTCTGAGATTGCAACTGTCGTTCTTGCACAACAATAATTGGACATGATTGTAGCTGCTGACGTGGCGATCAGGTCATGTCAGACGACATGAAATATAGGCATTACATCTCGATGGTCGGTGTCAGAGTAGCGGGATACGATGACATATAGCTGCGATGTAAAAGATGTACGAAAAATATAAACAAGTTTTATTTATATCTTGCAGGTAGTTCTATATCCACCGCATCTGTCCATTTTATTAAATCGACATCTCCATCACGACTAAATGAAAACCAGGCTTTAATATTAAGCGCACATCCCTCTCAAATTGGCTTGATTTGCGAATTAAGGTAATAATATTAAAGTCATTAAAAAATTCTCAGCCAGATCATTTATCAAATTGTTAAGACGCGCGGACAAAAAGAATAAAATATGGAAGGCGGACAAAAAGAACGAAATTCGGATGGCGCAATGAAATGTGGATGACAATGAAATGTGGATGGCGCAATGAAATGTGGATGACAATGAAATGTGGATGGCGCAATGAAATGTGGATGGCGCAATGAAATGTGGATGGCGCAATGAAATGTGGATGGCGCAATGAAATGTGGATGACAATGAAATGTGGATGGCGCAATGAAATGTGGATGACAATGAAATGTGGATGGCGCAATGAAATGTGGATGGCGCAATGAAATGTGGATGGCGCAATGAAATGTGGATGGCGCAATGAAATGTGGATGACAATGAAATGTGGATGGCGCAATGAAATGTGGATGTCAATGAAATGTGGTTTGGGCAATGAAATGCGTAACAAAATTGTTTAACGAAAGCATTTAAAAAATAAAAAGTAAGAACCTTCACGGTGTTTGGACGCTGCTTGAACACTTCATGATACGAAAAATACGTTAAAATCATAATAAACCTGTCATCTATCATTAACATCAAAGCGTTGACAATACAAAGTGCCTCCGTCATGTTAATGACGATAGCTCTAAAATATGGATCCGAAAAACAACCGATTTTCATAGCCTCAACTGGGTTCGTTCATGTTGGGTTTGCCTTCATCACCGTTTTGCTTTATCATTGCCTTAAGAATAGATATTCCGCAGACAAAGGTCACAGTACAGGGTAAATGTCCGAGGGATCGGCAATTTTCAATGCATGATTGTTCTATTTTACTTTTTAACTTAGATATCCACACTCAACTAAATGCTGGCAAGTCTTTTTCTGACTGAAAATATGCAGCAGAAATGCAACATAGCGATAGAAGGAAGTACTCAGTACAACACAGAATAGGCAATTCTAACTTTTTATAGTATATGCGTGCAGGGGGAATGGGAAGTAAGGTATCATATTGCTGATTATGCTGAAAAAATAAAAATGGCGGACTTGTAATTGTAAACACGGATTGATAGCTTATAATATATTATAAGAAATATTTCTGTTGTTTCGGCAATTTTTATTGACATTTTTCAGCATAATCAGCAATATGATACCTTACTTCCTGTCACCACCTGCGCGCATAAATTAAAAGCTGGAATTGCCTATTGGCTAGCCTAGGGCTGGTACCATTGGAATGAATATAACTGGAACGCTACTTTCAGATAAATCTTTTTTTGACGCGAGTCTGGAGGTAAGATACCTGTGTTTTAATATGACATGACATGATCATGGCGCTTATATAGAACATGATTGACTGATTAAACGCTCTTCGTGTGCACGAAAAGATTGGGCTGGCCTTCAAGTCTGACTTCAAATATCCGGTTAGAAGTAGAGTTCCAGTTCTATTCAGTTCAATGCCTGGTGCTGACTTACCCGCGATCTATTTTAACGTAGTTGATAAACTGCCAAGCAGCGTAGTAGGTGGCGTTACAAATAATCTATATAGCTATATTGATGTACACACCATACTTGTTCTCAGGGCTTCTCGGCTGCCTGCGTTGACATAAGCTTATGGCAACGCAGGCAGCCGAGAAGCCCTTCAAACAACGATGAATACACACAATTACGCAAACAAAGAAACGTTCAGTCGGCCAGGCGACAAAGGAAACAGTGCAGTCGTTCAAGTTTGTATCATGTACGGGAACGTTATTACTTCAGTTTATTTTAATGTTTTCATTAAATAAGCTATCTTATATATTGTCCATTTTATTGCACCATCCGCATTTTATACTTTTGCCTTCTATCCGGCGCATTTTATTATTTTTGTCCACCATCCGCATTTTATTTTTTCTCCATTCGTCCGTATCCGCGTTTTCTCACAAACCCGTGGCACGGGTGCTATAGAAATAAGCCATAGGGTTAAACTTGTGAACGATCGACAAAACAAACAAATTTCTAACACTAGTATTTTATTAGCTGCCATTTTTTGTTTAGAATTGGATATTTCACTGGTTGTCACATTTTGAAATTTTCAATTTGCGCTAATAGTCGTGTAAGAGATTTGAAACGAATTTGTTATTTGCGCGACAACATTATAGTGTAGTGGAAAATTAAATTGGGCGTCAACTCATATATAATAGTATTGGGTCTCTGAGATTGTAAACGCGAATAGCGCGTTTGATTTTGTCAAAAATAAGGATTTTGCAAGCTTACCATTTGCGCTAATAGTCAACCAAAACCCAAGTTACCAAAACTAGACGTTATGGTACATGCTACATACTCGTATAATGTTGTAAAACGCATTCGTGTCACTATACCGCTATTGATATGCACTTTCGATCTAGCAATACTTTCAGCAAACATTTGTATAAAGTGCTACAAAGTATTTGGTTGCCCCAGTTTAACTGTAAAAAAGTATGCGCACTCACCAGTGGCGTAATAACGCTCATGCATTAGGTGGAGTTAGTTCAAAAACTAAGGGCCACCAACAGCCACGGCCAATCTCCCAGAAAATCAGAAAACGTAAAACATGCCGGTTAATTTAAGGACCAGTGGGAAAATACGAACTTAATAATGCTAAATTAAATAACTGAACCGACTGATAACTGAAAACTTTATTTACAAATTGCAAAATTACACTTTACACGCCTTTGTTAGTTACACACAAATACACAATTGACTAGAAATTTATGAATATAACAAGGTAATAATTTAAATTTGAATAATAAATAATGATCTTTTACAACAATGTATAAAGTAAAATTTAAAAATAAAGTAAAAAAAGGAAATTATCGCAATTAAAGAAAATAATTTTTGGATTATACTAAACCGCAGATAGGAAAAGATATCCTGGGCGGTTAGTGAAGATTATGGAATAACTTAAATGTGATAATTATATCTTGAAAATTTGTCATTGAAGAAATGTTAGTATCAAATAAAAATCCCAATCAAATGAAAAGCCGTATACCAAAACCATTTGTTAATAATAAAGATTCTCAGTTGAAAACTGAATTTTTATTTTTGCTGTTTGTTTAATTTTTTTAATAATTGAGGGCGTATCAAGATATGAATCCTCTTCGCAAAATATATCGCGTAAGCTACTTTTCATTTCTTTTTTAAAATTATTTTGATAATTTACGTATTTTGAGTGGAATGCAATTCCAAACTTTCACTCCAATACGGGAAAAGGAACATCGTCGCTGGTTTGTTCTTGAATATTTGACATGATACATTTCTGATGAAATGGATCTTGTGTTACAAGTATGGATTTCACTGGTAAATGTAAATAGATTAGATATTTTTGAAGGAGTAACGTTATTGTACACGTCGTGCATTATGTCCATGATAGATTTAAGAATTAAGATCATATTTACTGACAAGTTGGTTGAGTGAATAAGTAAAGGAACGGCGTGAGTCTTTTAGTCACTAAAGTATATTAAACGAAGAACACGTTTTTGTAACTTCAGGAGTTTATCCATGTGAATATTGGCAGCCTGTCCCCATAAAGCAATGCCAAATTGTAAGCAAGGGGAAATCAATAATCTATAAATATTAATGTGTTTGTCGGTACAAAATGCCTTAATCTACTAATGATACCAATAACTTTACTAATCTTTAAAGCTATATAATCAATGTGGGGTTTCCAAGTTAGTTTTGAATCAATAATAATACCAAGACAATTTACATAATCTTTTAATTCCAAGGAAATAAATGACTTGGTATTATGATCATAATTTTTATGTCAACTAGATAATCTATTATTTTTTATATGGACGAAAGATAACGTAATTAGATTTCTTAACGTTTAATGTCAACTTATTTGCTGTCAGCCAGTTGTATACTTTTACTAGTTCACTATTAACAACTGATTCTAATGATTTTAATGATTTGTCAGCATATAACAAATTGATATATCATCTGGAAACAAATAAAAATTTAATTTATCCGAGGACATATAAATATCATTTACGTATATTAGAAAGAGCAGAGTTTCAAGGACTGAACCTTGAGGTACACGGCATAAGGTTGTAGCTTTTCCGAGATAAAGGATCCAATTCGAGTAGCTTGAACTCTATTTGTAAGATATGAAGAGAACCAATCATTGACGATGCCCCTCACTCCATAGTGTTTGAGTTTATTTAACAAGATATTGTGATTTATCGTATCGAATGCTTTAGTCAATAAATATACCACAGGTAAATAAACGTTTCTCCATATTTGACGGAATTTCATTCACTATGTCTACTGTGGCATACTGTGTTGATCTAATATATCGGAAACCATATAATTGTGAATCATACAATATATCATATTTGTCGAAAAAACATTTTAACCGACGATACATTGTTTTTTCAAAGATTCTGTTAAACACAGACAAAAGAGAAATAGGTCTATAATTATTCGAGTCAGTTTAATCATCGTATTTATGAATCGGGACTATACTTTAGCATGTTTCAATTTAGAAAAATAAATACCTTGCTCGACTGACATATTGACTTGCTGAGATAGCGGAGTCGATATGAGGCATCGAATGAATTTAAGCATTCGAGTAGGACAGCTATACAGCCCTGTAGCCTTATTAAGAGGGATAGATATAATTTCTAATTCAATTTCGGTTGGTAGAACTGGTTCGAAAACAAAAGAACCTGAGTGGGCGAAACGGGGTAAATAATTTGTAAAGGAAGTTGATGATTGCGGAATTTTAGAGGACAAATTATTTCCTATAGTTGCAAAATGATTATTCATAATATCAGGAATTTCGGATGTATTATATGATATCCCAACATTGTTTGTTTTTTTCAAAACTGTGATCTGTTTAATATTCTTTTTATTTCGATTAATTAGTATATTAATTCCTTTCCAGGTATTTTTTAATTATTAGCATTTTGTTCAAAATAGGTGTGATAATAACAGGTGGGAAATTTGTCGTCGCTGACCAAAAAATCGCGGGCAGAAACAAAGCTCATTGCATTTACATTCAAAATAAAGCAGGAAGTTATCTAGAAGCTGTTTTAGCTGACGATTTTTTGCTTTCCATTCAACGATTTACAAGTACTTATTCTTTTCTAAGCGTGTGTAGTTCAAGATATGCAGTATCATTCGATGAGGATTGATATACGGTTCCAAGATTAGCTATGGCAGTTTTGTTTTGTTCCATAACACCCTTAAGCTGTTGAATTTGAAGCTTGAAGTCATTAATCGCTTCAACATATTCATCGTTATTATGCAAATTTGAAGTATCAAACCTGTTGCACGTTTCTCCCTCCTGGAAACTTGAGTTTGTGAAAGTGAAAGTGAAATATTCCATTTTGTGTCCTACGACGTATAGGCATCAAAATGGAAACTGTGTGCAACCTATAGTCGCAGGTGCCCCAGCGCTTATCAAGAGAAATTTGAAAGACTTGCGCACAATAAACCCCGGAAAAGAACTTCTATAACTTAAAGAGTGAGTATCATGCCCGCGATCCCTTGCGCGCTTGTGTTAACGTTTTATGTTTACATTCGGCTGTAGCTAATCAATATGCATGCGGGCAGCAGACGCACACGAGGTTTGTAGAATTCTTTTACCTTATTCGTTTTTAAAATGTCGGATTTGGATAGTGATTCTGACTTGGCACACGAGATTTATGATCCTGAAGATGATCCTAATTATTATGGTTCGCCAGTACGCCGTTCCCTGCCTTTGGAAGGACCGTTGACGTCGACTGCTCAGATGCCTATCCTTTCTGAACGAACGCAGGTGATTACTTGCTCTGTTGCTCACAATTTTTATCGTTATGCATGATATATTCTAAGACAATTTTCTTTCATCTTTGTAATCGTGTACATTAATTTTCTTAGTTTTGTCAGTGTAAGAATACCTGTAGCCGAAAGAGTGGGAAAAAGCAGCGAGGTTGTCCCTGCAGAGATGATGCTTTGTTTTGCTCAGAGAAGTGTTCCTGCGGAACCGCAAAATCTGCGTGTAAAAATAGATTGGATGTTGCAAACAAAGCAGCAGTTTCCAATGCCGGGTTAAATGCATTCGAACGCCATCGTATTGCTGTAGAAGAGTCAAAGCAAGAAATTTCGGTGAGACCACTGTATATTTATGTTACGTTTTACTGACTATACAATGTCACCAACTTATAATAACATTACAACAGTCTGGCATTTATATCGAACAATTCAAAACAATGTTTTGATATCATTCTCAGTGTATATCCACACTGGGCAGGCTGAAAAGTTAGCCTGAACACGGTTGCGCTGCCATTCAAAGTAATTTGAATATTCATAGCAATTAGCAAAGCTACAATGCTTGACATAAGACATATTTGTTGGCTTTGTAAAAGTCATAAAATATCATCTTTCTTTTTCATAGCGTTTTATTGCTAAATGCTGGACTGTTTAATATTATATACTATTACATTAGATGAAGCAAATTAATATTTACACTTTTGAGGCTAATATTGTCAGATTTTTAATACTGTGTGAAGAGGTCTGAATATTTATAATTATGCAAGTACAGTATGTTATTGTGCCAATCAATCTTTGTCAAATCATATCTTGTTGCAGGAATTTATATCAATCTTGACAGGAGAACAGAAAAACGTGATCCTACTAGAACTCCTTTCAAATGGTAGTGGAAGTATGGACTATGCCAAAAAGTTGTTGGATTTTGGTGGTACTGTGCCAGAGTTGCCTCCTACAAAGCCATGTTGGTGTGTTTGTGGAATTTGTCAACCCATGACAAGTGAAGAAGAGAACAAATGTTGTGGCAAAATTACATGTGTGACATCCTTTGTGACATTCAGGAATGTATGTACTGATAGGGAGGTTTTAATCATGGCTATAAGGGCCAGATGTGACATAAGAGCAGACGAAATAGACTACTCCATGAACAGTTTTAGAAAAGCAGCCTATCGCCAGTACATACTTTGGCGATATAAAAACTTGGGCGTGGAAATAGAAGAGTATGGCCATCATGAGTGGTCCTAGTAATAAGACAGGTTTATCCTGCAGAAGATGGCCAGTATATGGGCTTCAAAACGGCATAGAAACAGAAATAAAAGTGGAACTATTATTTGACAATGCAATGTATCATTGAATAATTTGCTTTTACAGGATCATTTTAAATAGAGATTTGTAATATACAGTTAACCCAATTAACAGGTATTAACCCTTTAAGTGGCAATGTGCCCAGATGCCACCCTACAGTATCTTATTATTTTACTCATCAGGGGGAGAGTGCTGCCACTCAATGGGTTAATCAAGTGGCAATGCACCCATATGCGCCATACTTTATTATGTTACCTTGTCTAACACTATATCATTTTACTCTGTCTAACGCCAGATGATTTTACTTGTCAGGGGGAAAGTGCTGCCACTCATTATGTTAATACTGTACATCTAATGCTTGTATTCTAAAAGCTTCCTCACACTCATTACTAAGTGTGACACATCAATCATGGTCCTGCTAATCAATGATATAGTCCTTCCTCAATCAAATATGGTAAGATTTTGGGTGAAATAATCCAATCAAGCTGTCTGTCAAATGGAAATTCCGTCATGGAATTGGCTACGAGGTGATTGTGATCTTTTATTTTATGAGTGTGATTTTAGAATTATGATCATAAGACTTACAATATTGCACTATACTGAAGTGATAATGTACTGTAAGAACTAAGAACTCCAGTATATTTAGTGCAATTCAATTGCTCTACATTATTATTTCAGGGAGAACAGAGCTGCTGTAAGTCCACATGTCAGTGGCGTAGCCAGCCCGACA